GGCTAGAGGAGAATGAAGAAAAGGAAAAAAAAAATCAAAATCAAAGAACGTAATAATTAAGTTCTCCTTAAGACAAAATTGCCCAGTAAAATGTCCACGGTTAATTCACGACAAATGCTTTCAATATACAACGACTTTCCACATGAATATAGCGGTATTTCAAATATACAAGCCTTCGACGAACAATACTATTATTTGAAACTCTCAAGACTCAACGAAAAAAAAAATCAAGAATACAAAATGTTTTATGAACTTTGAAAATGTAATGCAAGAGCTTTTAACTTTTCAACTTGTGAATGATTCCAATTATGTGGGTATTTATAGATGTAAAGAAAACACATCCAAAAGGTTTAATTAAGTGTCAAAAGACACCTTTTGGGACGTATCCGAACGAGAACGGACACATTTAGTGGTCAAAAGCCACCTTATGGTACCCAACTGCATGTCCGTGCGCGGTAGACTCGTACGAGCTCATCCGAACTTGAAATCGAGTTCCGTTTTTTTCTACTCGTCCCAACGAACCCTTCTAAAATCATAGAATGCAAGCTGCATGATCAGGTCTCGTTTGGATTATCTTAACATTCATCAAAGACAAAATATTTTGCGAATCTAATAATTTGAGTTATTTAAATTTAATTGCTTCAACCTTGTATTTCCCACATATACAACTTAGAATTAGTTTCTCATTCACCTTAAAATGATTTTGAGAATTTTCTAAGTCTTCCACTAACGAAAAATGATAACGTTAAATCGATAAAAAACCCATTTTTCTTGCAGAACGATAGGATTTACACATAAAAATACATATTTACATCCAGATTACAATCAATTTAGCTGAATTAGCAGTCATACAATTGAATATGGTGGGAGGTCTGTTGGGTTCGATAGTACTGTACGGGCTGTACGCAGCGGAATTTAAAATTTTTAAAGTAAGTATTTATCGTATAAATACAACACCCGTACATACTAATTTCGAATTAACTGATCGTCATCTTTAAAACATGCATCATATACAAATTTTGATTTGTTACTATAAAGTAAATACTAGTAAAATATTTACCGAATGTCTTGAACTCCTTCACTATTGATGATGGATGAGGGAATCGGTTCCCGGTTGTAACTTCAACGACTTGAGGTTACTCGCTAGAGGAATCCAAGTGTCTTCCCTCTAAACGTATCCACCCTATGAAGCCCGGTTCCGACGACTTTCCTTCGCTAGTAGAAAAGACTCGGTTTTCTTGTATAGGAATATTTATGAATTTTATTTGGGAATTTTAAGAACTCTTTCTTGAAGTTTTATGAAGAACACTTTCTTCTCTTTCTAACACTTAGAAATTTAGGATCAAAAACTTCACTTAAATGCAAAACCATTTTGCATATATTTATACTAAACATTTTAGCATAAAATAATCAACATTTAGTAATATTAAATAAAATCAAATTTTATTTAAATAGTATTTACTAACTTTTGACTTTGAAAATAATAAGATATGTTAAGTAGTTCAAACAACCATCAACAACCATTTTATTATAATCATATTTATTATTTTAATCCTTAAATCATATTTAAAGATATAAATAATAATTGGATAATAAATCTTGAGAATCTTTCTCAAGACTTTATTATTATATCATTTTCCCAATATTATAATAATCATATTATTATTATTTTGGATTTTTGAAATTTAAAATCCTATTTTAAAATTCAACTTTATTAATTTAGTAATTACCTTAATTACTAAAGTAATATCCAAAATGTAATTAATCAATCTTATTGATTAATATATTCCTTTAATTGATATCTAATCAAATTAGATATTTATCAATTAATTCTAACCATTAGAAATACAATCTTTACCTTTGTTCATAATTAGTGTGACCTTTTAGGTTCACCTTAATACTAGTAGTGGGTTTACAACACTTTGTAATTTGAGTTAAATCTTATTAACTCTTATTCATGAATTAACCCTTTAATTTATGAACCCACATATCATGGTAACACCTAGCAAGTAGCATGAATCTAGTATTAAGTGAATAGCGAGTAAACCTATTCCGATTACAACTCCATACATGTAAAATCCTTTCGACATCTAATTTCCCGATTAAGTCTTGGGTATGATTTTGTCGAAACCCAAATTGACTTAATAACTATGATTCTATTTCATGTTTATTAACCCGGTTATGAATCACTATTCATCTCTGCCTTGGCCAAGGACTTTGGATTAATAACTATGAAACACATAGGAAATTCACTTATCTTCATAAGTGTCGAATCCTTTATTGGCCACTAACAAACTTCCATACATATCAACATAATACCCAACTTATCCCTTTAAACGATAGTGCTAGCTACCAAAAGGATAAATCAAAGTAGAATGTAATATGCACAAAGTTACCATTTTGCCTCAAGTCTTAGGATTAGTCATGTACTATTGTAACATGAAAATTCTTATTCGACTGAATAAATTCTTCATTAAGAATTTTCATACGGTCATGTTCAGTGAACTTGTTCTCTAACAAGCACCCACATAAATGTACTTACGTCTTACGCTAATGTTGATGGAATGCAACATTCTTGTCCAACAAGCATACAAACTATGTGCAAGTCTTTTATGGATTATTCGATATCCCATCTCAAAACATCCATCGACTTGGAACTGTATTTAAGATCACTGCTTTCAAGGTATGTTCCATGATCACCATCTCTATGCGCAACCATACCTTATAACCATAAGTGATCTAGGGATTTTATCTTAAGTGCAATTATAAGATAAATGCTTTCTCTTAAGATAAAGAAATGCCTTATTCATAATATAATTCCAATAGACTGTATTTACAAGTAGAATACGTCCAATTAGATTGGAACGCCGGGTACCCTACTCTAACAAGGTCTACCCAAAGGTAACCTAGAATCAACACAACTCACACAAAGCACCCACAAACTATGAAAACTAATAACGGTCCTACTAGTGGAGAATCCATGCTTCTAAAGAAGATCTCTACTATATATATATGAAGAAGTTATAGGGTGTTAAATGACGACAAGTGGCGACTTCTTGGCTTGACATTTGGCATTTTGGTCGGCAATTACTTGAACGTCCTTTTTTGGACAAACACAAAACCAATCTCTCTTACTAATTGAAAAGGGTAATAAGGTAAACTGGATATCCTTTATATTTTTATGTATTTTGACTTAAACGGCCTCATGTATTCAGCTTTTTGGGGGGTGTATACGTAATTTTTCGTGTGTTCATTTTTCCTGGCCGTCCTGCAGCGCGATTTCCTCCCAGAAAATATGGTGTCGCGGGATTTCCTCTCACACGCAACTATCACCTCAAAGACCAAATCGAATGCAATCGTGGAAAAGTAAAACCTCTCCCACACGCACATTTCAGTCACAACGTAGAAATCCAATTTCACTCCTTTTCTTACACAGAGCACCCAAGATTACACAGGCTCCCGACATTGATCGCGTAGCGGATAAAACTTGAGGGGTGACGCAATGATCGAGATCGGTGTATGGGCAGGAACGATCAGATCTAGCCCTATCGGGCAGCGGGGATCCCCGATCTGTGGGATGCAATGTCAGAATCGACGCTCCGCATTCTATGTGTGCCACCGTCATCGGCATTACATTCAACGGCGGGGGTTCCTCGGCGCGGACTCACGCACCAACACCGGTGAGAGTTATCTTTTTTATTTTCATTTATTTTCTTCATTCTTGTTGGGTTCTTTGTGATTACGATGGTCTAACTGAGGTATGTAATAGTTGAGCTATAATACTGAAATTAGACGACTTCACTTGATATTCACATTGTTTCTACATTTTTCTTTAATTCAGTTATTTGAGGTGATCGAGCTGATTGTTGATGTGAAGGGGTGCCAGCAGACGATTGTTATAATCTCCTGGGGTACGCAGCCATTGTCGTTTTTCCTTGCTCATTACACCCAACTTTTCCACTATTCATCAATTGTGTCTGTAAATGTTAATTCTCATGGTTTCTCAAATTTCCAATGCCTCCGAAATTACAAAAGCTTACTACAAACTATAGCTTAAAAAATTAAGGCCTATTTTCATTTGTTGTGATTGTATTTATGAGTATTCTTTAAAATAAAAAAAAGTATGGTATTTTAGTCGCTAAATTTTTGTTGCTGGTTTTATCTGTCTCACGTGGTCATCTAGAGAAAAATCCTTATCCAGAATCAAAGAAGTTGTTCACGAAGATTGCTGTTGCTTACGAGGTAAATTCGCCATTTTATTTTTTTTTGTTCCAAGTGGATTTTGATTTCATTGAGAAATCTGTCTAGCTGACTTTTCTGTAATTAGATCTCTTTTGTGTATGGTCGGTTTTATGGTACCATTTTTAGTTGAAGTGTGTTTCAGTGTGTTGCTCGTGCATTTGAAGCTATTATGATTGAGCAAATTGAGGTTTCAGTTAATTCATTTGAGCCTTGATTATGTCAAGTCTTTGTCATGGACTGGAGATGCACTTTCAAAAGAGTAAAATAGTCGATATAATATGTGATTTGGTTGGATTTCATAAATTTTAGTACTTTTCTTGTTATATTGTTATTCCATGGCATTGGATTTTAAATTGTCAAAAGATATATTTTGTTGCCACCGACTGACTTCTTATTAAAAAATATTCAGATTTTGAAAGATGAAGCCACAAGGGAGCAGTACAATTAAGCAATTGCACATCCGGAAGAGGTGTGTTAATTGGATGCTCATTTCAATATTATGTGAATACGTGCAAAATTTTTTTTAGGGGATTGTAGTTTTCACCCTTTTATGCTGCCACTATGATTTGTGTTTCTTAGCCAAGCAATATTTGTTGAGTTGGCAGACTTGATGATGGTAAAGTTTAATAGGAGAAGAAAGGTGATGGTGATGAGAAACTCAAGTAGGCCAATATGGAGGGTTTCGAGGGGAGTAATGACAGCGCTGAGGTGGCTAGTGATGATTTCAAGTCAGATATTAACGACAGAGGTAAAATTTGTTCAAACTCTCAATCATTTGCGTTGAAATTCTCAAAAAAATCGACGCGGGGAGGATGATGGAGAGGATTTTCGATCTGGTCGACTTCCCTAGGCCACATATGCGGCGATTGATCTGGGCGAAGGTGGAGATGTCCAGTGGGAAGCTCGGTTGGGTATGACAATGCTAAATACTTTTTTCTTTAAATTAGGATTTGGGTCTTTCAATTACATATGCGGCGATTGATCTGGGCGAAGGTGGAGATGTCCAGTGGGAAGCTCGGTTGGGTATGACAATGCTAAATACTTTTTTCTTTAAATTAGGATTTGGGTCTTTCAATTACATTGATTGTTATGGTTGTCTGGGGTTTAATATATATTGATTTTCTTTGTTGCAATATTTGAAAGAGAAGAAAGATCCTATAATACAAGCAATATGTTGACGGACACAAATCACATGCTTGCCAATGGGAGAATGGATGTTCCACTAAGCCTATGCTTTGCGAATGCACGTGCGGATGACCTTTTGTTGCACTATCTGCTGAGGTGGGGTCGGGAGCTAAACGAGCTATACAGAAACAACAGCACTGCACTGGTCAGGTGCCATTATCAAATGGTCATCCGTGATATATTCTCCCTTGATACCATTTTCTATATATAGATTTCTATTTGTAAATGTTGAGTGTGGGCATGGGTGTGTTATAGTCTGCCTTCTCTCATGCTTGCTCTTTATATCTTCTACAGTTTCTGGTATGGAGGCTCCTACAAAATATGACCAGTTTCTCTATTTTCTTCACCCTTCTATATATTAGTTGTAAGCCCAATGTGCTTCATTATAAATTTACATAATTGAAGAGCATTTTTTCAGGATCTTGCAGGTTGGTAGTGATCTTTCAGAGGTTGCGGGACATGTTTTACTGAATCATCTTCCAAAGGTACCATGCTACATGCATTATTACGTTAGTATTGTGCTGTGACCGCTTATGAAGACCGGATATTTTATTTGATTATTATCAATAAATTAAATGACATAGACTGATGATTGTTGTTATGCTAACTGGTCGCAGTATACATCTGTATCAATTGTTGTTAAATAAAACACATAATTTACTATCTTTATTGAGCATTTTATTAACCACTAACTTCCTACCAATTGACGAGAAGTTTCTAAACACTAATTTACTGTGTTTATTGAGCATTTGTAAATTGTCACTAGAGTAGTTTGTTTTTATTACTTATTATATTAATTTGTGAAGAGTCTGGGTATTTGATCACTGATTACATCAGATATCTTTTTTTTTTCTAATCACTGAGCTCAAAATGTGGTTTACTTGAAAGTGTTTGTGAGAAAATAGTCAATTTGGACAAATTAGTTAGTTATTTCGCGAATGATGAACAACAGCAGTTGCTAAGGCTTCTGCCTTTTGTTGACACTTCAAAAACTATGGATAGGTGAGCATTATTCTTCTGTTGCTTACTGCGGATGCATATTTGCCGGTGTTGGAAAATCAGAAATCTTTCAACAAAAAGGCCGAGGAAAAATGAGCCGTTAAATAATATGTCGAGCTTTTGATCGATGGCCAGAAATCGACAAAAATCCTCATGAAAGTGGCAAATTTAGACTATTAATGCCTCAACCATAACCCGAAGGGAAGTCCCACCATGAGCCAAGTCATCAAGATACTCGAGCCCCTGGTGGCTCACGAGCTGAGGCTGGAGGACCGAATGGTGACGCTTTATGAGGTCCCAAAAAACCTGAATACAGCGAGCGGCTGATAAGGCGGGCCCATCGAGAATAGTATAGGTAATAATAATTAATAGGGGAATGGAAAGAGCAAATTCGAGCCTCCGAAGGGGTGTGACCTTTATTTAGAGGCTTCGCAGATCTAGAGATCGATGGTGAAGATTGCAAACAGAGATTTTGTGTCGATATCTTGAGATGGATGCATATTGACTGTAGTGTTGGTGTTCATTTTTTACGTTTCTTTTGAAGCAACAACTTTGCTTATTTTTGTCCCATGAGATGGATAAGGTGTTTACTGAGGCTTGAGCATGTATATTTTGAGTGAAATAGAGAGTTTTTTTAGCTTTTGCTTTCAATGAATGTGAATTTTGTTCTTGACCTTATTCAACTACTCATGCAGAGTTGGTACTCATAGCAAAAACAAACCAAGAAATGTGAACTAATAAACTGTATATTTCACTAGATTAGAAAACATGACAGTGGGACACAAATGTAATTTATTGATAACCTAATATGATGTTTTTTACCTTCAATTTGCATGGAGCTTTCTTGTAATATTAGGACATATCTGCATTGAAATGTACATGTAATGGTCCACACTCGACGCAAATGCATTTGTCCAACTTGAGCTATATTACTATTTGTTGTGTCTTTAATCATTTGTCCAACTTGAGCTATATTACTATTTGTTGTGTCTTTAATCATTTAAGTTCGTATATTGAGATTGAGATGGCTTTACTTGAAGACAATATCAATTTTAATGGCAAAACTATCAAGTTCTTTCAGTAGAACTTGATCCCCAACTTATCTTGTTTACTTCATATGTCTGAATAGTTTTAGTTTAATTCGTAAATTTGCTTATGGACCTGCAGTGATTCTTCAATTGGTGTGAAGCATGATTATTTCAACACCTTCTTCGGCGAAACCGGTTCAGGAAAGCATGTCCCAAGATCTATATTTGTTGATCGTGAACCTACTGTCATAGATGAAGTCAGGATAAGGGATTACCGCTAGCTTTTCCACCCAAGAACAACTCATCTCTGGCAAGGAGGATGTGGTCAACAATTTCGCCACAGAACACCACTGGTTAATATCCGTGTTATTTTTGGAATCAGAGTTTATTCTTTCATAATTGCGAGAAAAAAAAAAAAAATTGATTTAGTTTTTTGAGCGTGCGCCTGGGGCACTTTCTTCGGGAAGACCAACGCGCCAAAAACGATGGTTGAGATGTATCCGTCCCGACGAGGTCTGCCGAAGAACAAGTTAGAAAGCTAACCTTCCCAGCAATATCAGGTGCAGATCCATTAATAATTTTCGTTTGGCCTATTTCTATTATCCAGATATAAGTCAGGATGAGCTTTACTCGGGTCGGGTCGTTCAGTTTCAATCCTGACCCACCAACTCTTCTGAGAGCCGCCAATTTCTCATGGTAAAAAATGACCTTTTAGTCACCGAATTCTCCTTCAAGTAGATGGACAGTGAGAATCCGGTTTTCATCGGGTCTCTGGGCGGGAAATGGCAAGTCGGATCGACGTTGCGGCCATTTGTATTCAGACACATCCTAATAACTTTCTTCTTTAATCTTAAATTTTTCTTTTGTGGATTGGGGAATAAAATATTTTCTCTGCTGGTGTCATATTTCTTCTTTTGGATGAGTTACTCTTAAACCATGCCTGTTTGTGATACCTTTCTTATAATGTGGGTTTCTCTACAAATGGATTGTCTGGTTGCATTTGTTATGCTTGAAATTCTTAAAAAGGTTAAGGTACAAGAAAGGTAGCAGTTCTAATGGAGTATTGGAGTTTTTAAGGATGTCCACATTGGATTGTTTTTTAAAAGACCTAAATGGCTTCATCTCTTTTGTGCTCTATCAATTACAAAAAATGACCAAAAAATCCATACTTTACTTTTTAAAGATAGTATGGTCATTTAACAATTTTTTCTTTAGTCCATGAGTCTTCCGGTCAACAAGGCCGTCAAAGATTACAATTTTTAACAAAGTTGCAATATTTTAAACCACAAAATTCTTCATTAATTGTTGGGGATTCAAATCTAAGGAAAATAATTAGATAATTCATAATGCAAAAATATTTTTTTGGATACATTGTCACAAAAAAAACTTGAATCATTAGTTTTTCTTCAAATATTAAATTGTTCGGAATTGTTCATATTCATTTACTGTGGTATTATATTGGTTCATGGTTAAAAATATAACCGTAGTTTAGCGACAAAGCTAATAGAAATATGAAAATTTACTCATAATTTCTCTAAACAAACAATTATACGTACATTATAGATTAAATTTGAGGCGACTGTGTGTACACAACCGTCACACCCGTCGCTTCGCTTCGTTTGTAGAGTTCAATTGACGACCTTTGGCCGGAGAGGAATTTAGATTCTATTGATCCCGGTGATCCAGTCCCATGGAAGAAATTCGAATGCAATATGATTTTCTTAACAATCAGTGTCAAAATTGGAGATGAATTCGACTAATCATTGCAAGAGATGACAAATTTTCACTATGTTCTTAGACTAGATTTTAGTCCGCCGTGCGTGCACGGCGTGAGACTACTAGTAATAAAATACAAACAACACTAAAGCCACAAGAAACATCCTATAGAGAAAAAAAATAAAAAATAATAATAACTAGAATAAAACCCTCCTCACCAGACAACGTCTAACATCAACCGTTCGAATAAAAAGTTCAAAGGCAACCATCCAAAGAGACGAGAACACGATCCCTAGAATTGGAGTATACTTTCAATCTTATTCGACTATCCACCATACTATTCATAATTTTTTTTTTACCATACGTATTTTTAAACTAAAAATCAATTAATAATCTCCCCTATATATTAATTCAAAACGTGCTGAGTCCAAGTGGCAGACTCGCATACTTCGGGATCCTATGTGGCAAAGTTACATGTTTCGTTATTAGAGCATCTCCAATGCTCTAATATTATAGTAGGATAAATTTTGACAAATGTCAAAAAATTAAATAGATTGTGAACCATGTAGGACAAATGTTGAGTTCACAACTATTAAATTAAAAAATCATCTTCAATGCACAATGTAGTCAAATTACAATATAATCTATTTACCAAATATTAAAATTTTAATATGAATTAATGAAATTAATCAAATAATTAAATAGTTTAAAAATGGTAATAGTAATTCTTGCTCTTCTCTTCATTGGCTAGCTAGAGTATGGAGGAGAATGTGGATGAACCACATTCTTCTCTACATTGTAGACATTAATGATGTCCACATCATCACAATATTTGTAATCACATTGTACATTGGAGGATTGAAAGTTGTGATATTAATAAATGTGTTGATGTGGGAATGTAATTTGCAACTACAACATTGAGCATTGGAGATGCTCTTAGGTCTGGGTAGATTTTCATTTACTCACAATCCAAAAATAATTAGGTTCGGATTATCCATAAATATGTTGATTATTTATGGTCATGTTACATGTAATAATTGCATTTTAATACCATTTCTTATTATAACTATTGAATTGTAAATGTATTTTAAAAGTTAATAATTTGTATTTTTTATCAGTTTTACATATATATTATATCAAATTAATCATCTCTTGATGAACTTCGATTTAACATCCATATTGTATGTATAAAAAAAATTATATTTATCTTTATAATAATAATAAAATTATTATATTAGTTAAAATTTATCTTTCAAGTAGTTATATGATATAAAATTATATGATATAAGTTATAAAAATTACTATATGATATAAGTTATAAAAATTACTATATAATAATAATAAAATTTATCTCTATTATATTTATCTTTCAAGTAGTTATATGATATAAGTTATAAAAATTACTATAATATAACACATGTAAGTCACACTAGTAACAAGTGTCATTCTAAAATATATAATAATATATATGTTTTTTAAAAAAAGTAATTAAAATTTACAATAATTTTCTCATTAATTTTAAAATTTAAGAATATTTTTTTAACAGGCACCCGTGTAAATTGTAATACACGGGTGTTGTACTAGTACACATTTATTAATAATGTGTCCTATTCATTTACTTAAATACTTATTATCATAAATTATCATATTATTATTTTTATATCACATCATAGTTAATTATTATTATTATTATTATNAAATTAAAAAAATATTAATTCCTTAAATAACATTATTTCACCAACAAGAATAAATTTTCTAACTTGAGAAAATTGATATGGAAATTTTAATTGTCTTTTAATTATGCTACTTCTTGCAACAATGCAAATCTTATTAGTAATCAATCTGTGCATTTGCACATAGAAGAATATTTTAAAAAGATAACAATATAAAAAAAAAATTATAATTTAATTCATAAAAAAATATGAATTAAGAAAATAATTGTCAAATTTGATTTTGATCAAATAATTGCTATGGAAGAGCCCGTTACAATCATTTTCTTTATGCTAATACATCCGGCCATTTTCATGAGTGGTGTGACTTAAAATTTGAGTAAAATTTTGTAACTCCCTTGATTGGTTTATGCTCATAATTTATGCCATTCAAGCAAGTTATTTTGTAACTTAAAAATGAAATTGAATGTTGAAAATTTTGGAGGGATAATAAAATTTAATGTTTGATAATATAATTAAATGCTATGTTGCTCCTCTTTATATATATATATATAGATGTAGATGTTTGCATATCTAATTTATTTAATATTGTACTTAAGATTGTGATTGGCATGTGAGGACAGTTATGGATATTTAAATTTTGTGTAGCTTTTACATTGAAATTGATACGCTTGAATACAAGCCCATCGATACGACCCGACCTCCATCTTGAGGTATAACGTGCCCTCATACCACCCAGCCTCAATACTTTGAGGTCGGCTACTTTGCCGAGCTCCTGGAAGTCGCTACCTCCAAGTCGTATCTCTTCAAGTTGTCTGGTACCTTAAGCTCGGCAAAATTACAAAAATGATACACTAAGTTGGGCGTTGTCAACAAAAGAGACAGTTTGTTGTCCCTTACGGAAAAGATACACTTAGTTGGCTTTTTGCACGAAAAAGATACAAATTTACAAAAACGATACACTAAGTGTATCGTTTATGCCTGACTTTGGATTGCTTATGCCCGACTTAGTGTATCATTTTTGTAAATTTGTATCTTTTTCGTGCAAAAAGCCAACTAAGTGTATCTTTTCCGTGAGGGACAACAAATTGTCTCTTTTGTTGACAACGCCCAACTTAGTGTATCATTTTTGTAATTTTGCCCCTTAAGCTCGTATACAAGCTACATGACCGAGTATCTTACTTCTGTATATGCGAGAACTCTCTTAGACTAGCCTAGCCAAGCTACCTGCTCAGACCGACTGTCGAGTTATCCAATAACGTACAATCTATATTACAAAAAACTCAACCCAGTTCTACTTAATATTATTAATAAAATTAAATAAAATCAACCAATTATCATCACACATCACATTAGCTTTAATTCATTATTCATCAACTCGTATAATTTTAACTACCAATCACTTCTAATTATTTTTCAAACTTTTACATCAAATAAACTTTAATCATTACAACAACAACAACATACCCAGTATATTCCCAACAGATTGAGGTCTGATTGGGGTCTGGGGGGTCAATTGTACGCAGACCTTACCCTTGTAATTATATAAGGAGGCTGTTTCCGTAGCGACCCAAGGTGCATTGCGCCGTTTGATATATATATATATTTTTTTTTTTTTCTAGAAACTTCACTAATAGAAGAAGCACTAGAATTTAATTGAGCAATTTTGATCTAGTCCATTATTAGCACTATGGACTAGATCATTATATTTTCAAAATAAACTTTAATCATTATATTTTAAATATTATTTGACTACAAAGTCAAAATCCGACTCAAATTTAATCTAATTATTTTCAAAATTAACTCTAGTTATTCAACAAATCTAATCAAAACCAAAATAAATTATATTCAATCACCCTCAATGTCAAATTATCACTATTTATTATTATCTTCACACTTTCATCTAAAATGATAAAAAAACTCTTATTGAACCAAGCACCAAATGTCAAAATAGGTTTTGGATTTCAAGCACCCAATGTCAAAATATCACAATACACTCAAGAATAATGAACCAACACGCGCGCACACACACGAAACGTGGCATAAAAGCAGAGACCAATAAAAGAGAGAGATTATATAAGTTGATGGAACATAAATTCAATAATGTATCACCTTCAACAAATCAACCTTTATCCCATAAATAAAGATATATGGAGAACAAAATCTTTTTGCCATATATATTGAGATAGAATCATTGGGCAGAGAACAGTGGGAATCACGAGCATAAAGTCAAAGATAAAGATCCCACCATCAAAATATCAAAAGCACATTCTTCAACAAAGGTGCTGATTCATTATCTTAACAACAATAGTGAATAGTGATTAAAAACACACAGGGATATGAGGCTAATTCAAACCAGTTATTAAATCTGAGCAAAACTATGCTGTCACTTTGTGATAAATTAAAATTGACAACCGAAAATGAAAATCATCAGCCAAAAAAGTCTCAGAAACAATCATGCTAATAGCATTCACATTTAGCACTTGATTTCCTTCAAACCATGGGAAAAGTACAAGAAAGTCGGATCAACTGCACCTTCCTTGTAGTAGGCAAACACCAGGGTGCTATCATCCGCCATGCTCTCTCCCACAAAGCTACACAAGAAGAAAAAAAGAACAACAAATTCATCAAAAAATGTGAGGGATTTAAACTAGAATGCACATGATTTTAACAAAAAACTTGAGACTGAAGTTGAGGCCCAATTAAAATAAAATCCAGTTTCAGCGAAAAAAAGCGTTATTTCCACCCAGATTGAACACCTAAGACTTAGTTTGTTTCCTTTTTCAACATTTTTCCTTTTTGAAGTTCTGGTTAATCATAAAAGCTAATGATGCAGGGGGCGTTAAAAAAAAAGATTCTTAGGGTTTTTTCTTACAACTGAAGGTCTTTGATCTTAGAAAGCAAAAACTTTGTGGCTCCCTCAATGGTCTTCTTGAACTGCTCCTGCTTCTCGCCTTCTAGTTTGGCAGACAACAACTTGATGTACTTCTTGATGTATGCGACAAACGTCTTCTTGTCAAAAGGCGGTTGCTCCTGTTAAAAGAAAAAAATCAGAAACAAAGGATAATTATAATTACAATAATGAAGCCCACGTAAGTAGAAGATAGAAAACTTAGGAGAATCAAACCTGGAGCCTAAATGTGTCGACAATGTCAACAACTTTAACGGCTTGGTCATCAACACCGTCATCTTCCTCCCCACCTTCGGCAGAAGGGTTTGCGCCAATGTCTACATCAACAGCTCCCTTAACAACCCACTATGATACAAAGAGAAAATCACAATTCAATTTTCATAAACCAATAAATAGAAGAAAAGATTAGTCAAATCACTAACATATAATAAGGTGTGCATTAATGATTTAATACCTTCCCTTCAACTTCCCAAAGGGCGCCATTCTCAATTTCCTTGTAGGGAAAAGAGTCTGATAGAAGTTCATCACCTGCAAATAAATTTGCAACAAAATTAACAAACATGAAATTTTGTACACAATCTGGAAGAAGTGAAAATCGTGTTGAACGGGCAATGAACAAAGAATGACAGTTTCCATATAAAATGCTAGCTAACAAAATTCAACACCATTGTATCCAATGGCAGGATCCAAAATATAACTACAGCACGGTATAACTTTTAGGTTTTTACAATAATTATACCCTGCAAACATCAATCATAATTCTTCAATGTATCTATTATAAAAGGCAAATTATACCATATTACCTATGTAGCAAAAGAATCAAACAAAGCTAATCAGGAAAGGGAATTATTTGAACTTCACAAACCCATTTAACATGAGTAAAACCTAATCTCAGATACATCTAGTAATACACAGAGCTAATACATCGCTGTAAAATGGGTAAAAATTATTGAAGACAGTACACCATAGAAAACCAGATGTTTCAAGCAAATTCCACTGCTAAGGAGACAATCCAACAACAGATTTTCAATATCAAATTATGTTCCAAAAAGACGTTCAACTTTTCAACCAGAACAAATCGGTAAAAGTAACAAACATCAGAACCCACAAAGAAATTGAAGCAAAAAAATATATTATAGATCTAAGCTTTATAGAGGAACCAACAGCATAATCAACTCAAATAAAATAATTTTGTAAATTTAGCCTCATGGACCAAGGGATCGAAAACCCATTCACACAACGATACATATTACAATCAGGATTAAAATTCCTCACAAGCAATTTAGAATAGATCAAGGGATAGAAAACCATCTAAACAATCAAGACAAATTCAATCATGTATACAATTCCTCACAAGCAACCACTAATAGATCTACCTGCAAGCAAACCGGAGGGGAAAAGATTACCTGAGAGCAAATCCTGATAGACCAACATGATTGGAGAAACTTGATAGAGCTCTCGATCGACTCCAATAGAAAGAAAGCAGAAGATCGGGGAGCCGGAGAGAGAGCGAGAGGAGGTTTCAATGAAACGAGATCGCAGCCATATATATGTCGAGTTGAGGGTTTGAGGAAGCCTGCAGAAAATAGGAATGTAATTACGAAACTAGACATGTAATGTATTTGAGATTGACTCAAATTCGGAATTGTTTCGTCGACTAACGGTGCAATTAGGGATGTACATGAGCGGTCGAGTGCAGGCCGAAAGACAAAATGTAAACAAATTTTATGGAAGTCCACAAGGTGTCATTAATTCTCGAGTGTGCATGTGATGAGAACGCGATCACGACAGGCTCAACAGACCCATCCGCGACAAGTCCATCGAGCAACAGGCCCAGACGTGACAAATCCATATGCAGCACGTCCAAGCCAAAGCAAAAGGTGTCATTAATTCTCGAGTGTGTGCATGTGATGAGAACGTGATCACGACAGGCTCAACAGAACCATCCGCGACAAGCCCATCGAGCAACAGGCCCAGACGTGACAGATCCATATGCAGCACGTCCAAGCCAAAGCAACAACGGCAAATCGCCACGGCCCATGTCACGCCGCAGACCTTCTCACGTCGCAAGCCTTCGACGAGCCATTATTTCTGCACGATGTCGAACATTTTTTTAGTAGTTTCTCGTCAGTTTTTCATTTGAATTATGGGTGAACCGTAGGGAAGAAGATGTGTTAAGTACTCTTGCAATTTTATGTCTTTAGGATCACTATGAAATAACAAATAACAAAGAGGCTCGCTTTCGAGCAAATTCCTCGTGTTAAACCGACGACTTTAGTGCTGGTTTTCACTTTTATCGTGTTCGAACCAAGACCGTTAGCGGGGTTTCTTACACAAAATCGAGTCCCGATACACGATCCTCATCAGCATGTTTTGACAAACTCCAACTCGATTGCCAATACATATAACCCTATTGAAAAGTAATTTTTTTGTTTATAAATAAATTAAATTCATATTCAATTCATACTCGAAATTTAACTTAATTTTAATTCAATCTCATTGTTCTCAATATTATCAATATAATTAAATAATATCAATTTATTATTCTTACACATTACATAAATTTTAATTTATTATTCATTCACTCACATAATTTGAACTAGTTGTTGACGGTCGTTCCCGCCAGCCTTCCCCGTGGAGGGGGGTGGGACCCCCGGTGGGCCATGACCATGCACCGGGGACTCATGGACTTCCACAGTGCTCTGTCCGTAGGGTGAAAACCCATCGTAGAACTCCCTTTGGTTTTTGCCTTTCCCAGGACTCGAACCCTGCACCCTGAGCATAAGGTGGGATTCATGACAAGTCCTGGTACAGCATAAGGTGGGATTCACGACAAGTCCTGGTACCAGGACTTGTCATGAATCCCACCTTATGCTCAGGGTGCAGGGTTCGAGTCCTGGGGAGGGCAAAAACCACAGGGAGTCCTACGATGGGTTTTCACCCTACGGACAGAGCACTGTGGAAGTCCATGAGTCCCCGGTGCATGGTCATGGCCCACCGGGGGTCCCACCCCCCTCCACGGGGAAGGCTGGCGGGAACGACCGTCAACACTAGTCATCACTTTACATCATCATTCTCCTATTTTTATATCAAATTAATTTTAATTATTTTATTTTATACATTATTTTAATATAATATATTGGTATTTGATTGATTTTCATTATTTTGTTGTTAACCATGGTCAATTTTTTTTAAACAAAATTATATGGTAGTTGTTAGTGGAATTTTAAGTTTATCTTCATCCCCCTTGAATTTCTTCCATGGACTCCTGCTCGTCTTCAGTAGGAGTTGATTGTGGAAATCGATTGGTTCCCTCCTAGGCCAACACTTGGATCATTGCTCTTGGTAGGGTGACAGGCATCTCCTTTTTCTTATGCGCATCCGAGGGTGCGTGACCACCAAACGACGGCAATCCTAACACAGGAATCACGGGTTTGGGATTGGGAACCACCGGAGGTCTCTTGTCCGTCCACGTCTCTCTGAACTCCTCACTCAAATTCTTTTATATACGTACCATCTCTCTCAGTCATGTCGGGTGACCAGAAACTAGATAGAGAGCTCTTAGCTCCCTCCCAAAGCTCCACACAAACGACGCCACATGATGTGTCGGAGACCTCGAGTCGCTACAGAACCGACAAATGAGAGTTCCGATCGCCGCTGGACCGTTGAGATCTGTAAAAGGGTCGGGCGTTGTTCCCGACATTAGCACTCTGTTTCTTAAGTCAATATCCAAAGATGAGAGATGCAAGCTTTGTAATCAGAGAGCTATAATATATGTAAAGTGTAGAAAAAGATTTGTAGTTTTACCTCCGTCTTCTTTTATAGGGAAATACCTGACATAACTTGTCTGCCCGAATTACCTGCGGTCAGCCTGCCCGGCTGCCTAGGGTTTGATCCTTTTCTCATCCTAATCATACTTGAGTCACTATTAGATTCCTTCTTATCCATTCATTAGGTGCTTAAGTACAGTCTCTGTTTAATTATGGTTATCACGTTCAATTTCCCGCAAGTCGCTCTTATCAGGATAATGACCCATCGAGCTACCTTGTCTTAGTCTTTAGGTCGTGACGACCTCGTCTAGATGTCCTCGAGTAATCTCTTACTCTGTAGATTGCTTCCATCAGGTCCTTGACCTAATGTCGACCTATGTGGCTCCTCTTGACTTATCGATTCTACTAAGAGGGTGATTGTTTATCAACTCAAAAAAAAAAGAAAAAAAACCAAACAAAATTTAAATTTAACTCAACTTTAATCCAATCCCACTATCTTCAACATTATCAATATAATTAAATAATATAAATCAATCATTCTTACACATCAAATCAACTTTAATTCACTATTCATCCACTCATATAATTGTAATTAACCATCACTTCCAATCACTTTTCCCCTACTTTTACGTCAAATCAACTTTAATTACTTTATTTTAAATAATATATAAATTTAAATTTATATATTCACTAACAACTAACCATACTACATTTTTTCAAAATTAACTATGGTTGAAAAAAACTAATTAAAAACTAGTTGAATCCATATCCAATCACCAACTAAGTCACCTAATTACAATTGGACTCCGGTTCACTTGTAGGTAGGGCTGTAAACGAGCCGAGCCGAGCTCGAGCCTCTAATGAGCCTGAAATAGAGCTCGAGCTCGGCTCGTTAAGGCCTCGAGCTTTAACTTTAACGAGCCGAACTATAAAAATTTATATAAAAATTCAATTTTCGAGCCTTATTGAGCCGAGTCGAGCTCGGCTCGTTAGCCAAACGAACTATAAATGAGATCGAGCTCGGCCCATTAAGGCACGAACTCGAGCCTTAACGAGCCGATCCGAGCCGAGCCGAGCCAGGCTCGTTTAATTTAACAACACTACTTGTAGGGCTATATCATTTTTTTTTTTGTTCTTTCTTTTATAATTGTAATTTGATGTATTTAGTTCATATGGTCTGTTACTTTGGTGCGTGCGTCAATATATGCGTACTTTTTTTATTTGTTTTGCAATTTTCTACAAATTCTCCTCAACCGTTTTGTTTTCAATGAAATAGATCAAAAGTGACTGAGGCACAAAATATTAATTACAAAATTTGATTAGTAAGAACTTTTTATACCGAAAGGGAAATAATGTAAACTTGAGCAACAATATACAAAAACGCTGTCGTTCACGTCATCCCAAACTTCAAAGCGGGAACGAAGCAAAATTCAAATGCCTTTCGTCATTCATACCACACCCAATCTCGTGAACATCCATTCAGCCAAATTTCCGCCATGGACGAAATTGCAGCTCGAATAATCTCCAACCTCGAGACCCAGTCGCCAATTTCAGAGTCGTTTCTGAAAGATCTAGGTACCCTGTTGGATTACACTCTGAAAACCAACGACCCAATTGACCTTGAGAATCTGTACAGTGAACTGTCTGCAAGAAATCTTTCCCTCAGTTCCCTCGCTAATGAAGTTTCCTCCGCCATGGATACTGGGCTCAGCTCCAGTATTTCCATTTTGTCATCAAAAGTCTATCTTTCTCTCCTTTTATCTCCCAATTCACCAGTTTTCACGTTGTTTACTCCAATGGCTTTTCTCAGCCTCCTTCGTGCCATACGCTTGGCTATCAAGAAACCTTCTTTGGTTTCAAGTGAAGGGTCAGTTATTCGAAGCCTGGGGCAAAAGAAGAAGGGAAAGAGGAATAATTTGGGGAATAAGAAAGGCTCAGGAAATAGGAAAATTGCAGAGCGTTCCGCTGAAGAAGGAGATTTTGATGTTAGGGATTTATTCACATTGCTCGAAAAGTTGGTAAAGGTGATGGATTTGGTCCACTTGGACCGTTTTCCAGATTGTCTGAAGGCTTTGGTTCAGACCGCGTGTGAGATCCCAATGACGGCTGTAGAGAATTGGGGAAATTTGGGGAGTTTTAAGAGGTTATGTGAATTGTCTTCGGAGGTCTTAAGTGAAGCTTTGAAAGCCGAGCACGGGATTCAAGGAGAAACTGCTGCCGAAGTACTGAAGGCGTTAGCCCCGTTAATCTTATCCTCTAAAACACAAGTAAGGAGTTTTGCTTTGTGTTTTGTGGTCATTAAAATGATAAAGATGGGTGAAAACTCAGATGGCATAAAAAAGGCAGTTGCGAACATGCCAAAATATTTGGTAACAAAATCTCCAGAAAGGGCTGAGCCAAGGGCTTTAGCAGTCGAGTCAATTATTGAAATTGTTAAGGCTTTGGATTCCGAGCATCAGGTAAAATTTGCTGATTATCTGGTGAAGATGAGCCAAGGGAAGGGGCAGTTAAGGCTTTTATCAGTGGATTTAATACCCGTTTTAATTATGTCGGTGAAAGGTCCTTTCGGGTTTGACTCAGCTGAGGGTGAAGGGGACTCATGGGGTCTGAGGCTATTGGAAACACTTATTCAGCGTTGTTCTGATTTGACGGCTGCTATTAGAGCAAGAGCCTTAGCAACTTTAGCTCAAGTGGTTGTGTCCTTGTTGGGAGATGATAAAAATCGAGTATTGTTGAAAGAGGTGATGGGATTTGGGCATGAAAGGGTTGGTGGGGTTAACAGGATTCTTAAGCTAAGATGTATGGATGAGAAAGCGGCCGTTCGAAAGGCGGCTCTCGTACTCATATCAAAATTGATCGCACTCTTAGGGGGCGAAGTTGATGAGGAGCTGCTAAAGACAGTGGGCATGGCTTGCTCGGATCCACTTGTTAGCATTAGGAAAGTGGCAATATTAGCCATGTCAGAGGTAAAAAATGAAAATGTATTTGTGGTTTACTCGTTTCTAATTATTTCAAGCCAATCAGACATCTGAACGTTGATATGATCTCCCTTATTTGAAAGCCATCTTTGTGTACTTACTCTCATTTCCGGCTTTTCTTTTTAGTTCATGAAATCATGGTATCTACATCTTAGAACATTGTTTTTGTTGTTTGTGAAAAGATTGGTAGAGTTTATCAATGGTTTCAGTCTTGAAACAAATTCTTTGTTTTTGCGATGTAGGCCTTTAGGACATACTCGAACCGCTTTGTGACCAAGGAGTGGGTGCATTCTATCCCACGTTTAATCAGTGATAACGAAACCAGCATCCAAGAAGAATGTGAGAACCTTTTCCTTGAACTAGTTCTCGATCGCATATCAAGAGCTGGATCAAACTTTTCAGCTGAACATGATACTGTTGCCCGTGAAACAAAAGGGGAAAAACATAGCTCGAGTGTGGACGATTCTGAATCCTTATATCCAGAAGGAGTCTTAATTTTGTTGAAAGAGGTCTGTGATGCTGAGGTGTCACCTTGGGTGAGAAAAATCTGCTTGAGCCTGGGGAAAAAGAAAAAACTCCACAAGAAAATTGCTACTGCACTTCAAAACATCATTAAGAAATCCGAATCTCAATGGCTGAGCCGTTCCATGCCGATCCAGAAGTGGACAGCGCCACCTGGCGCCTGGTTTCTCTTGTCAGAAGTATCTTCGTTTCTTTCCAAATCAATCGAATGGGAATTCTTGAAGCATCATTGGCAGCTTGTTGACAAGTTTAAGCCAGTTAGCGAGGTTCAAAGCCCTTGTGCACAGGGATATGAAGATGATGTTGAAATGGTGGATGTTGAGTCTAGTTCTGTTGATTGGGTGAAGGATCGTGTTTACCTCTTACAGACGATTTCAAATGTTTCTATGGAATTACCCCCGGAACCTGCTGCAGATCTTGCACAAAATTTTCTCAAACGGCTTGAGAGGTTTAATATGCATTCGACTGAGGTATATGGATTTTGAGTTTGACCGAATTGCACTTGCATATTGATATAAGTATAAAACTGTTATATTTGTACTTTTTTTTGTTTTTTTTTCCGTTTTCTTTTGAATTTTCTCTGTTCAGTTGTGGCTCTTGACAAAGGTGAATTTTACGGAATATCATTTCTTAGCATTGATCAAAATCCTAATTCCATGTAAACTTGGGTGATGGAACTAGACTCTACGTGATGTAAAAGGGCTTTTGTTATGCTTAGCATACATAACCATTGGGACTGACCTCTGCTCTCTTGGCTGTTCAGAAAAATATCTTCTTATTAAAATGGTTAGGTTGATATATTTATCCATGTTTCAACATGTTTGATAAACCTAAAAGCACTGTGGATACAACTGTGTTTTCTGAGCCGACTGTGGAACAAATTTTATGCTGTTCTGTCGTGTTGATTTGGGCTTCAAGGATATTGGTATTTGCCTGTGATATATGGTTCATAAACTTAAATGTCACAGATTGAATGCAGAATGTGTGGAGCAGATTTAAATGTCAATTTTCTTGTTTCATGACATATAGAGTGACTTTTCTGGTCGTCACATCCTATGATACACTTACTATGAGAATTTTGTCAATATTCTTTGTTGATGTGTATTATTTATGGTTGATACCACTTTTGAAAAGTCCATTCAGTTTTCTTACAACACAGCTTCCTAAAATTTAATGATTTTGTGTACTTGCCACTAGGTTAATGCCCATGTAAAAGCACTCAGAACCCTTTGCAAAAGGAAGGCCTTAAACCAAGCAGAGGCCGACTACATTGTAACAAGATGGGTGGACCAGCTTCAATCTAAAGCCTCCAAAGTTCTAGATTCGTACATGTCCAAAATATCAGATTCCAATAAAGAGAATGCTTTTCTCACCCCACATAACACGGGGAGTCGTAAAGCACCAAGAAAAGCTGATTCGAAGTTATTAGCTAAAGCAGTTATTGCTATTTACACTATTGGATCGTTGGTTATTGTCTGCCCTTCATCCAATTTAAAGACTATTGTTCCAGCCATACACACCATAATCACTTCAAGAAGTTCAGATGCGAAATCTAGCAACTTAACTGGGCTAGTAGTTGATATAATGCAGATTGCCCCTTCATTGTATATACAAGCATGGCTCACAATGGGAAAGATTTGCTTAGCTGATGGGAAACTTGCTAAACGTTATCTTCCTCTGTTTGTGCAGGTAAATTTCAAGCTCACGGCTTTTTTTTTTCTCTAACAAGTTAAATTGTGTATGGAAGTTACCAGCGTCATGATTTTTTTATGCCTCATTTGTGAAAATAGAAATGAAGGTCGTTTGTTGATCAATTGCAATAAATAATAAGCTTGCCTTTTGCCGGTAATATATGTGTCGTATGGTGATTACTAATTGCGTACAAACTTTTATTCTCTCTTCCCATTTTTACGTAAGCAGGAGCTTGAAAAGAGTGATTGTGCTGCACTTCGCAATAACATAGTTGTCATGATGGCAGATTTCTGTGTGCGGTACACTGCAATGGTTGATTGGTGAGGACTGTCAATGATTAGTTATTGTTAATTTTTATTCTCCAGGCAGCTATTCAATATTTCTTTTTTAATTAAAAAAAAAAAATGTTTTTGGTTTTCATACTGGTCCAGTTACATGTCAAAGATCACTAAGTGTCTGCGTGACCCATGCGAACTAGTAAGAAGGCAGACATTTATTCTACTCTCCCGCCTGCTGCAGGTAAATGTCATGTGCCACAAAACTGATTTCAAGTGGATCAGCTCAAAAGTTTCATCTTTTTTTTATCAAATCTTTTACTACAGAGGGATTACGTGAAGTGGCGAGGTGTGCTTTTCCTCAGATTTCTACTATGTTTGGTCGACGAGTCAGAGAAAATACGGCAGCTAGCAGATTTCCTCTTTGGGAACATCTTGAAAGGTGATTGATTTTATGCTAACTTATCCTTCAGTTGGGAAGTTGTCATCCTTTCATCTTTTCAATTCACATTAAACTTTTTCCTGTCCCTTTTGCAATTCCTATTTGCAGCAAAGGCTCCACTTTTAGCTTACAACAGCTTTGTCGAATCTATATTTGTCCTGAACGACTGTAATGCGCACACTGGACGCAGCAATTCCAACAGCGCGCGCAATGAGAACCATCTCTTCTCAATTAGGTTCTTCTGCTTTTCTAATCTCAATTGTTCAATATTTTAAGACAAGGCACTAATGATATTTATTTTGCTAATGATTTTATAAATAGAGGAAATGACGAGAAGTCGAGGTTGCAAAGGATGCACATTTACACGACGCTGCTTAAACAAATGGCGACGGAGCATCTTTTGGCCACTTTCGCCAAAGTGTGCGCCGAAATTCTTGCTGCTGCTTCTGACGGTATGCTCTCCATTGACGATATTACAGGCCAGGCTGTTGTTCAGGTCAAATATTCATTTTCTGTATTTTTTTTTTTTTTGTTTCGACACAATAATGTTCGGAAAAAAAGTGATATTTTCTCATATTAACTAATAACAGGACGCCTTCCTTGTCCTGTCGAGCAAAGAAATCCGAATCCAATCGGGCCACGGCCCATCATCATCATCATCATCCTCGGAGGCAGCTGACGTGGAAGATGAATGCCCGGAAAGCAACCCGAGAGGCAGTCGGGCCATAACGCAAGCCGTGCGCAAGAGTCTCGTTCAGAATGCAATTCCGATTTTTATCGAGCTGAAGCGCTTGTTAGAGAGCAAGAACAGTCCACTCACGGGGTCTCTAATGGACTGCCTGCGGGCCTTGCTAAAGGATTATAAGAATGAGATAGACGAGATGCTGGTGGCCGATCGGCAGCTGCAGAAGGAGCTTGTGTATGATATGCAAAAGTACGAGTCGAACAGAGGTAAATGCGCGCAGGGGGATTGTGGGGTTACGGTGAGGTCTGTGCTGAGGGAGGTGAATGGGACGCCGCTGGGGGGGATGAGCGTGCCGAAGCTGAAGACGAGGACTGGCGGTGATGGGAGTGGAGGGGGGAGGGTGGCGGCGGCGCCGGAGGTTATGGAGTCTGTTAAGAGGCGACAGTGTTTTGATTCTGATGATGATGAGAGCTAATTTTCTCTCTCTANTAATTTTTTTTCAAACGATAATTATAATTAAAAAAATAATACCCGGGATGTGAAATGACACCATTAGAGTCGGAATAAATTTTGAATCAACTCCCTTGAAATTTCATAGGCCATCAAGGGGTATGAACAATCGCAAACAAAAGAAATCTATAAGGGGGACTAAAAATTAGATATAGTTGGATAGAAACAAAAACTAGAAGAAAGACAAAAAAAGCTACAACACATACCTATTCGATGCACTTAAGTCCTCTTCAATGTCGTCCAAACACTCTCAACCACCCCCAATGAAAACAACAATCGAAGAAAATCCTAAGAAAGACACGTTTCAAAGCACCCGGCATGGATCTATGATAGGTCGATAAATGTGCATATTTTATATATTTAATAGTGTATTTTTATACACTTAATTTATTCGTATGTTTATATTTTTCGATTTATTTATTATTTGGATAGATTTGTATACTTTGATTATTTTATATTTATTTTTAGTGCATTGGAGTCTTTTGTGGATCCGAAGCATTGAACGAGAGTTCACGCGAGTCATTATTGGGCCCGAGTACCACCAGGTCAATGAAGCCGAAAGCAATGTTTAATTAAGAAAACTCCAAAGCTTTCTTATTATGTTGTATACAAAAGTGGGCTTGGTTATTAGCTTAAGAGAGGAAATTGGGCTGCGTATGTGTGCTTGGAGAGAAGAAAAATTGAAGACTTCAACACCAATTAATTGTTGTGAGGATTTTTAATTGCTTGGATATTAATAAAAGCCGTGAGATACCAGGACGTGCAAGCGGCACTGGATATTTTTTTATTTTGTGGGGCATTTAGACGCAGACGCCGAGAGAAAAAAGAGAAGAAAAACGCCACGCACGGAAGGAAAAGAACAAAGCCGAGAGCAGTAGCCGAATAAAGAACACCACACGCAAAGCGAAGTCACACCCACACACGAGGGAGATTTATGCTCTCTCTTTTATCTTTTATTATTTATTTTTGTTAATATGTTAGGCTAGGATTTTTATCCAGTTTTAGAGGATGTTTGAACCCTAACTTCGATTTGTCTATGAATTGAAGGATCTTTATTTATTGTTGATTAATCCAGATGCCGTATTTATTTTTGTTGATGAGTTGATTCACGCTATCTGTATTTAATGTTTATGAATTATGAGTATTTGATTTAGTTTGGCCAGCTACGTTGAATGTTCATAGTTTAATTGCTAGATTCGGGACTTTAATCCGTAATTGTTATTGTCTCGTTTCGTTAGTAGTAAGTTAGGGGTCGTGCATCTCTAGGGTAGCGTGAACATAAGTTAAACGGTCCGAGCTTTTGCGTCCTTTGCTTAGACTGATCTATTTTCCTAGAGATTAATACTGCTAGTGCACTAAATCTAGAGAGCTTATTTTAAGTTGTCCACTAGTTAGGTTTAGTCGAAGAGCTTATTTCGATTAAATATTCTGTAAGGGAAATTCGGTTACCAGAGCTTGTTGTTCGCTAGGGTTGGTAATTTGTTAGCAATTTAAAGAAGATGTCGAAATTAATTAACAATAGATTTAGATTGGGTGATAATTGAACCGAAAATTGTACTTCTCTCATTTTATTTGATTATTATTTTATTTTGTGATTTTTATTTTTATTAAATCAATCCCCCATTTTTTTACCGCTTTCGTAGTTTTAATTCAATTAATACGAAAATATTCATGATTTAATTTATGCATCTTGTGGGATCGACCCTTACTTGCCGCTACTACTAGTTAGTAGAGGTTAGTCGAGGAAAACTTTTATAAATTTAAATTTGCCGCGTCGCTACGCGCGGTCAATCTAGAAACTCAAAACTCTGTAACTCAGCAGGCTATGGCTAACTCGACCCAAATCTACAAGGTCTAACCCTCATTCTAAACGCACCACCACCGAAAAACAGTTCCGGGACTCGGAAACTGTTGTCTCCCCCAACAGAACTGCAGCAACAACAACCAACACAACACCCGCAACCCGCTAGAAGGGAGTCGTCCTTCTGAGCCACAGGGAATCAAATGACTCAGGGGAAACCACAGCGTTAGCGCTAGCGCCAGCTACCACGAGGGTGGCGAACTTCGTCGACAGGTCCAACCACACGCCCGAGACAACGACCAGATCCACCCGACCCAATCACTAGGGGGAGGAGCTCCAAACCGAGAATCGGAAGTAACGCCAAGGCCGCGCGTACGGTACCTGCCCAGGAACTAGTCATCTCCGAGGAGGAGGAGGAGGAGGAGGAGTAGCAGCAATGGCGAAGAGACAATCTGAGAGCAAGGGTTTACTGTTCAATTATGGAATTGGGGGAAAACGAGATATGCATTGGTGATATATATCATTTATTTTGCCAACAATATTTTGCGTTTGTTGAACCACAAATTCAAATTCAAATCCGGCCAGCTTTTTTATGATATTTTAATTTCAATTCCAGCCAGCTCTTTTATGATAATTTAAAGACTGCTTATTAGTAATCACATAGATTTTAACATATCTTCTAAACTCAAATGGGCCATCGAAAACTCGTCCCTCCATTTTGTTGCAATAATGTCAAGAATCAATTGAATTATCTTGCAATAACAACTGAGTTTCTCCCTCACTAAAATTGTCATATGGTATGATTTAACTGTTAGTGTTATATACTGAAAGCTTGGCTTTGCATGTTATTACACATTTGCCCTTTATGAATGAGAATCGTGTTAGATTAAACAAGTTCTACGTTCTGTTGTTCTGCACTTAGATATGGTGGGTCGTCATCGGGCGAAACGAAGATCACTGTATCAGTCACTTGCGAACAAGAATAGTTGTTCACAACCTAGATGGACATGAACACCCCATCCGAACGGTTGTAGTGTCAATTGTACAGTTTGTCTTGACTGATTAGTTGCACTAGTACATTTATGTATTGAACATGATTCCAGAGATGAGAAGTTCATTTTATACTGATCGTCGTAAATGAATTAGGCCTCGGTTAATTACTGCGTTCTCTTAACCCGTAAGATATTAAACAAGCAGATATATATAATATATATTAGTTTGATTCACATGGGGGATGATAGGTCGAAAAATGTGCATGCTTTATATGTTTAATAGTGTATTTTTATGCGTTTAATTTATTCGCACATTTATATTTTTCGACCTATTTATTATTTGGATTGATTCATATACATTGATATTTTTATATTTATTTTCAGTATTTTAGAGTATGTTTGTGGAACCGAAGGATTGGACAAATATTCACGTGAGCTATTATCGGATGGGCCCATACCAACCCAAGTTCATTGAAAGAGTTAAAAAGGCTAAGGAATTGATGATTTGGGCCTAGAATGTGAGCACATTTAGCCAATTGAGATGATAAGTGAATTGGTCATAAAAGGAAAAGTAATACGCTGCCACACTCATTTGTTTGGAGTAGAATTTGGATTGTGGAGGATTTTTGGGCTGAGGAATTTAATTGGCTTGGCATTGCAAGTTATTTATTTTGCTGGGACACTCACGCAAGTGGGGAGATTTTTTATTTTGCGCCAGCAATTGATTGACGAAAGAGAGTATTGCGAGAGGAACACGAACTCACGAAAAAGAAAGCGGAGAGACATACAGAGAGCGTACGAACTGGGAAGGAGCCATTCGTGGAGGGAAGCCGCACTCGCACGAGGGAGACTTTGTTCTCTCTTTTATCCATCTTTTATTTTTATTAATATGTTAGGCTAGTATTTTTATCCAGTTTGAGGGGATGTTTGAACCCTAACTTTGATTTGTCTATGGATTGAAGGATTTATTTTTATCGTTGATTAATCGAGACGCCGTATTTATTTTTGTTGATGAGTTGATTCATGTTATCTGTGTATAATGTTTATGAATTATGGTGTTTGATTTAGTCTGGCCAACTACGTTAAATATTCATAGTTTAATTGTAGATTCGAGACTTTAATCCGTAATTGTTATTGTCTTGTTTCGTTAGTAGTAAACTAGGGGTCGTGCATCTCTAGGTAGCATGAGCATAAGTTAAATGGTCCGAGCTTTTGCGTCCATTGCTTAGACTGATCTATTTTCTTAGAAATTAATGCTGCTAGTGAACTAAATCTAGAGAGCTTATTCTAGGTTGTCCATTAGTTAGGTTTAGTCGAAGAGCTTATTTCGATTAAATATTCGGTTAGGGAAAATTCGGTTAACAGAGCTTGTTGTTAGCTAGGGTCGGTAATTCATTAGCATTCTAGAGAAAGCGTCGAAATTAAGTAACGGTAGATTTAGATTGAGTGATAACTGAACCGAAAACTGGACTTCTCTTATTTTATTAGATTTTTATTTTATTTTCTTATTTTTATTTTTATTTTTATAAAACCAATTCCCCCCACCTTTTATTGCTTTCCTAGTTTAATTCAATTAATACGAGATTGTCACAATTTAATTCCTGCTCCTCGTGGGATCGACCCTTACTCGCCGCTACTACTAGTTAGTAGAGGTTTGTTAAGGAAAAATTATAAATTGAAATTTGCCGCGTCGCGACGTGCGGTCAGGGGAGGTTCAGTTCGCTGGATTAATATTCCTACTGTTTTGAGTAATATTATTATATATAGGATGTGTTGTTAGGATATTTACGGTCACCATGTGCGTTAGTTTGATAATGTCCCCGGAGTGAGTTCATGAAGGATTGTTATGCTAAACCCTGCAGGTGGACTAAGTTCCGACATAATAAGAATGTGATGAACGAGCGCTAGCTTCGGTGAAATAAAAATAAATTAATTAATTCTTGATTGTCAGTAATCGAATTAATTAATGTACATTATATCTTAAACTTGGGGAAGTAAATCGAGTAATTATTATTGGAGTCTTAAATGTAATTTGGGCTAGGAAAAGGGAGTGCAATAATATAATGTTGGTGGCCCATTAATATTATTTAATTAATTAGAGGAGTGGGCTTGGCCCACAGTTAGTCTAATTAATTAAGGAGCTCTTCTCCTAATCTTCTAGGGTCCCTACTGTAGCTCTATATATATACATCATTAAGCTCATGAGAAGAGAAGAGAATTCCTATCCTAATCTCATTCACACGTGAATAACGCCCCACGCCTCTCTCTAGATCTCATTCGAGCTTTATCTTCTTCTTGTTGCTCCACTGGTACAAGTTGAAGAAGGGTGTATTGAGTAATACAGTAGAAGATCTGTAGGTAAACCGAGACGAAATATATTTTGTCCTACAGAACTAACCGGAGGTCCGATTGAGACGCACAGCATACCCAGATGACCGTCTCGACGAGGGCTTTCCATCGCCGCCGAGAACGCCGAATTCCGACACCGCACGCGCCCTCACGCGCCGCCGGAATCTGTCTGGCTGCAATTTTGGTTTTGATCCATTTGCACCCATTTGATCCGTTTTTGATCTGATCTTGTTCGTGCAACCCAAGACGTGATTTGCTGTCAATCAATTGCGGTCAACCGTTCGTGGTCAACCAGATCTACATAATTTTTAAGCCGTAAGTTCTCTACGTCAAACCTTTAGATCCGCTGTGCATAGGTTTACATTTGATATTAAGTTCGTGACTTGTACATAACGAGATCCTCACAAATCCCAACATTAACTTGCCTTGAGGATAGAATAATACAAGCATTTATAAGTTGTGGAACTAGTTAAAATTGCAATGATATATGATAGTCATACAGCTATACCATCTTTCAATAATGAATTAATTAATAATATTGGAATAAGTATTACCTGCTCATTAAGACGGATTGAAGTTCATGATTTTGTCTTTGATCTTTTTTCAGCTGGAAGAATATCTACAATGGTTATTTTTCAACTAAAGGCAACTGAAACATGTTCTTCACTTCTTCATTATCAGTTAAACTCACCGATTTCTTTTCATAGAGCACAATGTAGAGTAAGATAAAGAACTAAGAAGTAATGATAAAAAAATCTGATAAAAATTGGTATATTGTTGTAATTTTGCTGTGAAGTTGATAGGTTCATCTGAACATTTTTTTTAATTGTTAGAGAGTTAAATAGAAATATTTTATAGAAGTATAGATTGTCGTCTAAATTATTTTTAGGAGTTATTGAACATAAATTTAAAAGTGGCCTTTAGTTATCTGTTTCTTGTCTAGACCAAGGCTTCTTTGGTCTCCCAATTTCATTGCGGTCATTTGGGCTTTTGTCGTGGTTTGTATTCGAACTTTGTATTTGTTTATTGTTATGAGAGTTTCTTATCGTTTCGTTAAAAAAAAAAAAAAGCTTTAGGGATTTATATTGAAATTTCCTTGTTGGTTAGTAATTCATTTATCAAGAACTTGCTATAGATTAGACATAAGTTTGTATTTTCATCTCTATTTATTTTAAGTTTATTAGCTCGAATGTTTAGCATAAACCACCGCGTTTCGGTATTGCAGCCTGCACAAGTGAACGAACAATGTGCGTAGACTTTTGACTTGTCTTTTATACTTATATTTGACATGGCGACTTCTAATTGGCTGGAGTTATACTAATATTTACTTCCCATCCACACACACATTCTTCGCAGCGCAAACACATACGCACTCTCTCTCTCTCTGTCGTTCATGGGATTTCGGATCTGATTAATAGGTAAGAAGTGAGAACTACGATACGCACTTCCTTTTTTATTTCTATTTTTCCTTTTGATATTTTTTGATGTCTAATACTCATGTGCTTTTGTTTCTTTGATCGTGAGCTCGATAACCTCGATTGTGCTTATTTGTGTATCGCGATTGAGATCCTGATTCGTTGTTTTTCGTTTTTACTTTTCCGTGTTTCTTAATTAGGGCAAATTAGTTTTTGAGGAGATCTGTTAGTTTCACAGACTGTTTATCTATGGATTCCTTGAATTGATGATCCTGAAGTCGTGCGAAAACCTCGTAATTTCTGAATCCCAAATTCAATTTTGGGACATCTCTTTTATTTAGAAAAAAAAAGGAAAAAGGTGTAAGAAGTCTCCATGGATAGCAACAAAGACGAAGCCGTGAGATGCATCAACATTGTCAAGGAGGCAATCGCCGCCGGCAACAAGCAAAAGGCACTCAAATTCCTCGGAATTGCACGCCGCCTTAATCAGAATCTACCTATTGACGACCTTCTATCCGCGTGCGAGAATCTCGACCCGTCGTCTTCCTCCTCTAATCCTTCCAATGGCGTGAAGAAAAGTGTTCCTAACGAGAAGGACGAGGAAGCTTCCGTCAATGGAGAAAGGGTTCTGAATGGCGAGAGAAGCTACACAGAGGAGCACGTGCACATGGTCCGGCAAATCCGGACTAAAAAGGATTATTACTCGATTTTAGGCCTGGAAAAGAATTGCACGGTCGATGAAATCCGAAAGGCTTATAGAAAGCTTTCTCTGAAAGTCCATCCAGACAAGAACAAGGCCCCTGGCTCTGAAGAGGCTTTCAAGAAGGTCAGCAAGGCCTTTAAATGCTTGAGCGATGATGATTCCAGGAGACAGTATGACCAAACTGGCTTAGTCGACGAGTTTGAGCACAACCAACAGTATCAAGTGAGGAGGAGGAGAAGAACAGGCAACCACTTTTATGATGATGAATTCGACCCTGATGAGATTTTCAGGGCTTTTTTCGGCCAACGTGATGCGTTTAGGCACGCGCATGTTTACAGGACCCGAGCGAATAACAATGGTGGTGCCCACCATAGAGAGGATTTTGGGGGTGGGGGCCCGAATTTCATGCTTTTGCTGCAGTTGTTGCCGTTTTTGATAATTATTCTGCTGGCCTACCTCCCGTTCTCGGAGCCCGAGTACTCGTTGCAGAAGAACTATTCGTATCAGTTTAAGAAGGCGACCAGCGAGCATGGGGTAGAGTTCTTTGTCAGGTCAGCTGAGTTTGACCGGAATTATCCAGTTGGGAGCCCAGGCAGGAATGAGATCGAGAATAGTGTGTTGAGGGATTATAAGCACATGTTGGGGAGGTACTGCCATATGGAGATGCAGAGGCGCCATTGGAACAGACACTTTCCGACTCCTCACTGTGACAAGCTCGAGAGTTTCGCGTCGTGAAGGTATTTGAGTTTTTTTTTTTTTTTTTTTTTTTATGTGCTTCAACCCTGTTTTTGATGTGGTGGCCCTAGTGAGTACAATAGAGTGTATGTAATTGTATGTGGAAACGTAATAGTGATTGAAGATTTATGTGTTCAAGTAAGTTGCATATGGAATCATAGTACAAGTTGCTCTTTCATTTATTTTTATTTTGGAAAAAAAAATTCACCCAATTTTCATATAGCTATGTCTTTCCACTGTTTTATGGTTCAATCATCGTAAAAAGGAGTGTTTTTATCTCTGTTATCATGTCCAGTGGATACATTCTTGAAAGATTTACTTTTATGAGAAAGTTGTGCGTGGTACTTACAAGGCAAGCCTGTTTTCCTATGATCGGTTTTATAATTTTTAACCGAAAGATGGATAAAGAAATTAGGAAAAACAAATTGGATAAAAACAATTTTCAGTTCATTGCAGGAATGGTTTTGAAAGCTAGTGGGCTCTATCATCTTAAATGTTCAGAGAATGTTTTTCTGGTTTGATTAATTGCAATTGAGCAGCTTCTTATGATCTGACATGTTAGGATGAATCAACCTCAAAATCTTCAAGTTATTTTTAATCTACTCTGTTGCTATCACCTGAAGATAGTTGTTGCCACTAGATTATTCAGCAGTAAACTTCGAGAAAAGCTATCATTAAGATTGTATTTTATTTATTTATTCTTTTTGAATTTTGAGAGGTTTTGGAATACCCTGACAAAAAAATTCTGTTTCAAAATTCTTGAAATGGAAATGTAACTGCGATTGAAATTGGTTTGGGCAAAGCCTTATAGTGAATAGCATGATGTTGGAATAAACAAATGAGCCTTAGCGAACAGAGAGATGTGACGAGCCACCTCATATTTTGTCCTACTCAATAAGTGAAAATTTTACTTTCCCTGTGCTCAGTTGTAGGTTTATCCAGTTAAATGAATTATCCAATTTAAGATAAAGTCACTACTGGATAAACCTATCCCTGAAAATCTCAAAGTATGGGCAAACCTGTCCAATTCAAGTTTTTAATATTGCTGCTTCTCCACTTAATATCTTCATGATTGGAAATATTCCTATTCAATGATTGTCAATTGACAGTTAGCCTAACCAATTTTATTTTTGGACTCATACCCGATGATTGACAGTTAGCATAACCAAATTTATATTTGGACTGTTTTCTACCCAACTTGTAAGTGTCTATAAGTCAGTATTTGTTGAACCATATAATGCTTGTTGTATTTTTCATTTTTCTGGTTCTATTGTCTAAGTTACCCGCCTCTTCTTGTCTTGGTAAAGGATGGCTTAGATACACTCTGAATTACTCTGCAGATTAGTTAACATATATGATTTTAGTAAGCATAAGCTAAACTTCCATTTTTTTTCTTTAATTTTGTGAGTCCTTGAAAATGTGTTCATGTTGATTGGAAAATTATTTTAGCTTGAGAAACATTATATCCATTGTAGGAAGTTTGCTGTTCAGAAATTTGTTGGGGCTGGGACTCATTTTTCTTGGTTAATTTTGTGGTATGAGAAAAGATTTGCAAGTGCTAACTTTAAATTTTGCCTGGTCGTGCGAACAGATTTTACATGTGGATAAAACCCTCAGCAGGTGGTAATTCACAGGAAGTCTAATCATATCCTCGATTGGAACTCTTTGCTGAGAGGTGAAGAAAACTCGATCAAGCTTTCATTGTCTGAATTCCAATAGTTGACTTTTTGTAGTCAATGCTCTTTTTGCAAGTGGAGTCTGGACCAGGGATTTGCCTTAGGGAGGATTTTTGGGCCACATAGACCATGCGGAATTTTTCCGTTTAATTTCTGTATATTATTTTGCAGCTATCACAACCGCCATACAATGAACAGTAGCATTATAGATAGAAATGGAATAATTCACAAAAAAAACATGAATTATTTTCAGCCCTTGATGAATAATGTGTTGAAAATATTCGATTTTTGTATACCGGTGTTAGCTGTAAAAGCATGCATGATCTGCAGGAGGGTTCTTGAATGGTCCTGCGGCTATTTCAGCTGCTGTTCTCCTGACGACAAAAAAAATGGGACCTTCGAAAGTGAACTTACAGAGCACCCGCTTGCTATCCCACTCAAAGTTCACCCTCTGAAATGTCTTATAACTGGTTTTGTGACATGACTATGACCATGAAATTGTGTCCAATTACAAGTTTCTATAAAATTAGAATGTACTGCCATCTATTTTGCACCAAAAGAAAAAGAAAAGTAAAAATTTTAGGGGAAGTTGTTTAAGAATGAATCAAAATCCAAACTCATTATTAGTTGAAATGGGCCGTACAGCATATAGTTAAGGCCCAAGTGTAAAAGGAGGCATACGGATACTTCTGTTTCATTGTTTATTTGATGATTATTCATTTGATGATTATTCATATTTTATGTTTCGTATATGAAAAATGCTACAAGTACATAAAGGTGTACATAACTCTATGTGAGTGTTATGTACAACTCTATGTGCAGTATCATGTGCTTATAACATTTCTTTTGGTATATTAAAATTTCACGATCTGTTTCAATGTTTATTTGCTCTGATCGATTTTGTCATTGTATATTACGAAGACGTAAATTATATATATCTACTTATATGTTACGGAGACATAAATAATATATATCTACTTATATATTATATATATAGTCACAGGTTATAAACCACGCATAAACTGAATTTTGGCTGAGCAAAAAAAATAAAACTGTAATATAATATGTATAATTTTTTTGTTAGATCCTGATAGCCCTTATAATATGTATTACATATCAATACTGTACATATTTTAGGTTTGAAATAAGTAAGAAATATAAGCAAAAATTATAAACAAAATCCAAACATCACAATTGTGGTTCGATAATGTTATGTAAATAAAAGCGCAACATATGAAAATATTCTTTGACCAAACATGCAATTGGCGATATTCTCGGATTTCGAGGAGGACAACCAAAGAAAGTCATCGTCGTCGGCGGGGCCCGATGGGGAAGCCCCCGATCAGTTGGATTCGCTGTGCTATCGTTCGCCAGCGTCACCAATACAGGTCGAGAAACTACAAACTCCGTAACTCATTAGGCTATGGCTAACTCGTCACGAATTGACCAAGCCGAGACCTCCTTCCAAATGGACCACCACTGGAAAAAAGCTCTGAGACCCAACGGCCGTCGCTTCCCCCGACACAACTTCGACAACTACAACCCAACAGGTACAGCCCGCTGGAGGGTCCGTCCTCAGAACTAGAGAGCCGAATGGTCTAGGGGAAATCAATGTGTTGCCACAAGAGCACCTCTCGCACAACCGCCGCAACGTCCAAATCCACCGGCTCCACCCATGTGGGGAGATCTACCCACTGAGAATCGAGGCCGACGACCTAGCGGCGCAGACGAGATTCGCCACAGAGTCGGTCATCTCCGAGGAGGAGGGGAAGAAGCGGCAACAGCAAAGAGGCAGAACACCTAGGGATTTACTATAGCAAGAGGATTTTGGAAGAAGACGGGCGCGAGAGAGAGAAAAACCAATTTCTTTAGACGTCAAAGTTCTATAGCTTGGCAAACAGACAGGGCCAAACCAAACCAAACTTGGCATTTAATTAATTAAGCTGGCCTAACAAGGTGCAGAACATTTTGACAAACTTGGCATTTAATTAATTAAGCTGGCCTAACAAGGTGCAGAACATTTTGACGGTGACATGATTGATTCGTAATATAAATTAGGGGAAGGCTTACGGAATGGTTCAGTTGTTTTTTTAAACGTAGATTATCTACACATCACTGATATACATGTGTACCTACAGTTAAAAAGAACAACGAAATCATCCGTAACCAGAGTGTAGCATTCTCCTGTAAATTAATTTTTCAAGTCAATTAATTAAGATCCCAATATTAGTATTCATTTTCCACCACACAAAATTATCGGTGGCAATATTAATTTAAAACGATTGACAAACTTTTCCGTTGAATCCGACTGACAACGTCGGTCATATTTTTTAAGGGAAATGCTATATGTATATAATATTGTACATATGGGTGTGCATAACACTCACATTGAGTGGGACATACCAAAAATAAAAAATCAAGTAGACCACACCCCACGTGAATGTTATGTACATCTTTATGTACATTTATTGTGTATATGTAATATTTTCCATTTTTTAATACTACAAATTCTACGTTAGCCAAAATTATTATTGGTACAACAAAAAATGTATGAGATGAGATGAGATGAGATAACCACTCGCCATCACACACAAAGATGAGATATCCAAAAGTCAATAGGAGGGCCAATTACGTAATTACACAACCACCTACCCTCGACCTCCCATGTTCATACACGACCCCACTTTTACCTCCGTACAGCAACCCACATAGCAACAATTAATAATTTAATAATAATAATCATAATCGCAAAATAGGAAAAAAAAAAAGTAGATCCAAAATTGGGAGGGCGGGGAGCAGATCCTCAGTCGCCGGAGTCGTCATCTCCGCCGAAGATGGAGACCCTGTTGTAGAGGAGGAAGAGAACGAGGGCGAGGAAGAGGGCGACGCCGGCTGGAGATCCGGTGGCGCGGTGGATGGAGTTGGGGCCGGCGGCGGAGAATATCCCGGAGACGAAGGTGCCGGTGTCGGAGGAGAGGAACTGTATGGTGAGAAGGAGGGCGATGGGGAGGAGGAGGAGGCCCACCGGGCTCAGCACCTCCGCCACGAACTCCGTCACGGCCTCCCCCTGCTCCCCCACCAGCGCCGGAATCACCATCACCAGAACCACCACCGCCGCCAGGATGGCCGCGTGCGGAGGTCCGGCGCGGCGCTCTTCAATCATCCCTGTTTTCTCTCTCTCTGTTTGTNNTGAAAGGAGTGTGTGTGTGGTTGTGGGGTAAATAACATAATATTAAGGGGAGTTTTTAAAATTTAAAGTACTTTGGGTGGGGCCTCTCTTTTAAATTGTTTTTCGAACGCGTTTCTGCCCCCTATTTTCTGAAATGGAAAAATAATATTAATATACTTGCAATGTAGTACTTTTTATTTTTCTTATTATTTTTTTGACACGGCAAAAACAATTATAATAAAGATTAAATACAGTGTAATCAGTAATCAACGAGTTACAGGGATCGTTCTAACTATCAAATGACTCAAAGAAACGAATTGTGAGTCACTTTATGGTGTAGAATAATTATTATTATTATTATTTTGATCGTTTATTATTATTATTATTATTAGTGGTTAACTTGGAGAATAAGTTAGGGTTTATTTTGAAAGCCTTATTTAAAGGGCTTTTCTGCTTTGTTATGAGATGACATATTTTGAGATTGAATCAGATAGCGTGAGTTTTGTGTGTTTTACGAGAGAGTATCTCGTTTATCCTTCTCATTCGTACGCTTCCTTACATCACTTTATATCATAAAATCTCTCTTTCCTATACAAAAAAACTCTAAAACAAGAAAGACTAAACTTGCGTACTCAATGTTTAAATTGTGTGTAATAGTAGTTAGAGTATAAACTAGTCGAGCCGAGCTTGGTGATCATGATACTTAAGTTCGAGCTCCTTATCAATTTGAGCTCAATCTGTTAACGAGTTGAATTGCGCTAAAAAATATGTAAAATTCAAATTATCAAATTTAACGAGACGTAACGAATCGTGTTGTGCTCGCCTAGTTGACTAAATAAGACTTAAACGAACTCATTCAGTTTGTTTATCAAATGAATTGAGCCAAGCCAAATTCATAGTGACTCACTTCGTTTAACAACTCTAATGGCATGATTGGTAGGAATGAAGGATATGAGAATGAAATGTTCATTCCCTTACTCGTTCCTTATCCCATGATTGGTATATTTAATGACCATTCCAATGGGAATGGCAAAACCCATCTCCATGGGATTAGCTATTCCATAGTTAATGGAAGGTTTCTCATTCCCATTTGTGTAGGAATCAATTTTTCAAAAATAAAATTAACAAATAATAATAAAAAAGAAATATATAATATATAATATATATTATAAATCATGATTAAAATATATTAAATAAAATTATTTTAAAAAATAAAGTCAAATAAAAATTTGAAAACTTACTTTTATTTATTGTTTAATTAGATATATTAAATACTTATATAAAAATAAAACTAAAAAAAAAGCATTTATATATAATTTAAAAATATATTATTTTATTTGTAATTATTATTAACAATATTATTTTTATATTATTAAAAGATATATTATTTTATTTTTATATATTATTAAAAAAACATTTATATATAATTTATTAAAAATATATTTATATTAAATACTTATATAAAAATAAAACTAAAAAAAGCATTTATATATAATTTAAAAATATATTATTTTATTTTATATATTATTAAAAAAATTATTTATATATAATTTATTAAAAAAAACTTTTATTTATTTTTATAATAAAAAATAATAATGCCATTCTATTTAGGTCTTATTCCTTCTGCATATCAAACGCATCAATGACAAAACTTGTTTCATTCCATTCCCATAATCATTCCATTCTTTAATTAATTCCATTCCTACGAAATTCTATTTCATTATACCAATCATGTCATAACAGTAAGATACTGAAGTAGCAATAATGCTAAGGAGCCAACAGCTAATCGAACAGCTCTGTTTATAGTAACAATTATAAGGCACGAATTTAACATGTTGTTAAGACATTCGGGTTCTGGACGGTGCATGGGAATTTCTAATATTGTGTAGCAGGTGGATATTCCATCTCGTCCTCACTAACAAATTGGAATTTCTACATAACGACATCTATATATATATAATTACTAGCTAATAGAATTTAATAAAACCTATTTAATTTTACCTATGTAGCAATTTAACAATTTTTCCTCCAAAAACCGTTACATTTTGATGTATTTAATATTTCATTTAATCATTAAATAATTAATACTCATCACTTCAAAATTACAAAAACCATTTTAAACTTTTGATTAAAGACAGTTGACCATATAATGTGTTGACCGTATAATGTGATTAGATGTTATTATTGTTGTTACATTTAATTTTTTTTTGAAAATAAAAAATATATTTGAAATTCTTAAATAAATAATAAATAATTCACAAATAAAAGACGTACCAAAATATACATTACATCCAATCAGATAAACGCAATTTAAAAAAAAAATATTCCAATTCTTTTAATTGTAAATTTGGTCTGCAAAAAAGTGAAAGAAAAATAATTAATCATTATATGTCACAATAATTTATTTATATCTGTGCAAATGCACAGGTCGAATACTAGTATTTACGCAGCGCGGCTTATGGAACTTCCCAGTGCTTAATTTAATGCATATAAATTTCAAACTATGAAT